GAAGCCAGGAGATTACACAGGGGTGGGACTTAAAAATACAATGCTAAGAAAAGATTAAGCAACAGGATAAGCTATGTACAGTACTTACCTAAATTAAAAATACATGTATGCAGAACAGTAATACAAATGTTGCTGGAACACACAAACAAAAAGTAGACATTGTAATGGTCACTCATTGAGAGACAGAGTAACAAAAGTAGACAAATAGGAAGAAAAACAGAATTTTTTTTTTTTAAAGAGGCTGGCTGATTTTTCAGGCTTGCGCAGTGACCGTTAGCCCTGACCCAAAGGGGTGTGTGTTGATAGGCATCTGCTGTTAACACCGTGTGTTGTTTATGTAGCACACAGCAGCCCTCTCTGCTTCCTGTGCCCTTTGCGTGCCTTGCTGCTTCTCCCTCCCTCTGGCTGGTGCTCAGGGGCTCTGAGAGACGGAATGGCTCTGACCCGCCAATGCTCCAACACCCAGTACAGTGCACACCAGCCTACGGACGGCCTTGGCTCAGACAAGGATCCCTGGTGCACACAGGTGCTAGGACAGAGGATTTAGGAGTATAAGACGAAGCATGAACTTTTTTTTTTTTTTTTTTTTTTTTGCATAAGGAGCAGCTTGAGCGGGCTTTTCTCAGAAGAGGGCAGTCCTGTCACACATTGCAATGTCAGTTACTCCCTGGCTATAGGGTGGAATGTGTCCTAAACAAAGGAGGTAAATTACTGTGAAACTCCAAGGATCTTAAGGTTTAAAAAATGGCAGGCTGGGAAGTGACAAGCTATCGTATGAAGACAACAGGCTTTAAAGCCAGTCTATCCTGTAGGAAAATCCAGACGATAACACGTCGAAATGTATAATTTGGGTACATTACCTTATCGCCTCCTTCACAAGATTGTTGTGCAATGGTGCATTAGAGAGTTTAGCACAGTGATCCAAAAATCCCAAGTGCTCAGCCTATTTTAGTTCCATTTCTTCCCCTCACAGCTGACACATGTTGGAAAGACCACGGCGTTCTTCCTCAAAGCCTGTATGTAGCTTAGCGCACAAAGGAGCTACAAGCATAAGCCATTACCTTTATCTTGCCTATATGTATTTAAACTAGATTATTTCCCTCCAAAATTCCAGGTTAAAAAGAATTGTTTTTGAATGTGTTTGAATATATTTAATTTTTTTTCTGCTTTCTCTTCCTGTTTCTGAGAACTATAACTCATAGTCCCAAACTGGAAAGCAAAGGCTGAGAGTTACTGAGCCAAAGGAAGGGAGAGTTGCCAGCCAGTTAACTTCTACAGCACTTGTGCAGAAAAGCGGACTGGCTCCGAGGTCGAAGAAACAATCTCTGAGTTTCCAGTGACCGCATCTGTCTTACGTCCAAAGCTGCCTTCACTTCCCACCCTGCACTCCAGCAGTCTCCTCCCTTGGATTGATTGGGTAGAATCCAATTCTGCTCAACAGTTTTGCAAAAACTGACCCCAATTATGATTTTTTAAAAAGGAATCTTTTTCCCATGAAAATATTTCCTCCACTTGTTCTGTTCTGTATGACCATTTCCAAGGTCCTATGGTGCTGTATCTAGAAAACAAGTGAGTATTCTCTTAAGCCAATTCACAGCCATACCTTTGGGCTGCTAAAGTGATATTCCCGAGCCAAAGTATCAGTGACATTGTGTGCACTTTTTACTTCCCTGTATTTCTTTTCCTGTTTTCACAGTAATAGGAGCTAAAGTCTAGAAGAAATAAGGGCCTTTGGTAAAGCATGGCATTGTCATCTGTTAGTGTGGGGCAGCAAAGGCCCGGAGACTCGTGGAATGGGCCTTGTGAAGTCGAGTCTTTCTGCCAAGTAAAAGGTCGGCAGAAAAATATTTCCACATAGTACATTACAGAATACTGGCGCCCATCCCATAATATTTTATTGGACATTAATTGTACTTATTAATTAAGACAATTAACTAACTTTTACTCAGAGAAAGGACTGGTGTGCTGCTGAGGGGAACAATGTGTACATCTTTTAGATGAAGCAGAAATATTAGATTAGCATCTTAAAGTCTCAGTCTACACAATCTTTCAAAATTGCAAATTAATTCTCATCTTGCTTGATTTTTTGCCATTGAAATTTAACTTCTATGTTGGTTCTTATAAATGCAAAATACAGAGATCAGAAATTTGGTAGAAAACTGGATGCTGAACGCCTATATTTAAAAAAGCAAGCAGGCTAAAATCTAGACTAGCCAAATAAAATGTTTACGATGCAATATTTTAATTCAAGAATGCACAGTAATCGTTGAAATAAATTGATGCATTAGACTATATTTGCTGCAACATAAAATGAAACTTCATAACAAGATTATGAAAGTGATTTTTATTATTTTGGTAATGCTGTCCAGTATATGTAAGATATAGATTTGTTTTAAATTTGGTATATCAAACAGTAAAAGCTACATCTTAATGCTGTTTCCCTAGAATCTATTTCGATTACAATTATGTACTGTAGCTGCTATATATATACTTAAAGCATACAGGGTAAAGCACAAAACTAAGAAAGGTTAAATAAGGTTAAATAAGAAGTTATCCTTGAGTTATAAACATCTACTAAAGTAGTAGTTGTATACAGCTAAAAACATGCAAATTAATATATAATGCTATGTAACTATTTGTTCTAATATAGATCTAGTATGAAAATATTAAGGCTGCAGTAACATTTCACAGGTAAAGGCTAAGTTCTGGGACATGAAAGCTTTTAGATAAGCCACAAAACAAACCTGAGACATCTTTCTGTTTTGGAAATAAAAGCAATTTTTCTTACAAAGTCAAAGCTTTATTTAATGAGGCATTTAATAAACAAAATAACTATTGCAATAAACTGGAGTAAAAGTGCTGACTTTAATGGCAATCAGTAATACATTCTATCTCTAGTAGAAATACAACGAGGTTTTCTGGTTAAGCCAATCTTCTGATTACTGTAGCCGCCAAATTCGGTTGTTTTTGTTCACTTTTGGTTGTTTTCCTTCCTTAAATTGTGTTATAAACATGTTAACTAAGCCAGGTAACCTCCAAGCACCTACCTTACTTTTTTCTATGTAAGCACAACTTTCTTTTTGCCACAAGCATCAGATGACGACTGAGCCTACATACATGAAAACAAATAATAGCACATCTGGACCTGGTTGACTTAATGAGGCATCCAGATTGGTACATGATTATTTTTGCTGTTACACATCTCTCAATCTAAATAAATGAACTACCGCAGCCCAAAATCACTGTCTCAGCCCTGCCGGGGTGTAACATTTTAGAATGCCCAGCGACAAAACATGTAAATGTACTGGGCAAGCCTGATGTCTATAGTTGACTTCAGTACCTTTAAAAAATATTGGCACCAATTTTTCATATTCAAGAAGCAAACCTATAAATCTTTTAAGTAAAAATTACATAAAGTTTTATAATAAAATATTCCAAACTACAAAACAGTCCTGCTATATTGTAGAAATTTAAAAATAGACTATTTGAGATTTAACACTACTGTACCAAACATCTTTTTTCTAAATGTTTATGATTTGAATTTTGTGCTCCAAATTAATTAATTTGGAATGGGGAGGAGGGGGAATGTTTAACCATGTTTCCTCCCTTCCATTCTGCTCTCTTTTCTCTTACCACCCACAAACACAACCATCATACAAGCCTTTCTTTGTGATTTTGATACAAAGATACCACAAAATTTAATAAGATGTAACAAGAAGTAAGCTGGCAGGACACTGCAGAACTTTCTTTGCAAGTTTAATTGTAAAGAAAATTGAAACTTACAACTTCACTTTGTACTTCTGCAATTTTCTATCATTTTTTTAAAGGTTTTTAGGTTATTTACATAAGCCAAATGCATACATTTTGGTAGAGCTTTATGCTTTCCCAGCTACCAAATTATTAATAACTGCTCACAGGGCTGGCCGTCTTAAAGCAACTGATCCGATCAGCTCCACTATCTTCCAATGCGATTCTTAAAATGGCTTCCCAAGACTATCTTCTGATTCTGACTTTCCAAAAAACAGACATTAATGTTAACTTTTAAAAAATTATTTAAAAGAGAAACTAGATCAGTTATAATGGGAGTTTCTCCTTTTTAAACCTAGCAAAGAGAACATCAGATAATTCACAGTCTTTTTCATCACTGATCAGGCAGACAGGTTAGATTTCTCTGCCTTCCACAGGGTACTGGTGATTTCCACTAACTTCAACTGAAATTCAATAATCAGAATGGCTTTAAAATGAAATTTAAATTTAAACATGCCAAGAGTCTGGAATTTTAACATATTAATTAAATCAGTTTCAAAAAGATTCTGTATTACACAATTTTAATTTAAAAAGTTATAAAATAAGACCACATCTTTGGATCTAATTTTGAGATTTGTCAGTTCTCTTTCAGGTTTGGGATGAGAAAAGAGACCTTGCTTGGTTTTCCTATGTCAAACATAGGGGGTTGTTTTAATCAAGCTCATTTAATGTATTTAATATTTGAGACACAGTTGAATTGGTTGTACTTTTCGATTTACAATATTATACAAGACATATTATTCAACCTTTTCTTGAACAAGATAATACTAACATACTACTAATGGACAATTATGTAATATATGTATATATATGTTGAATACTACTTGGTGACTTTCCTTTAACCTATGAGACTTACTGAAATCCATACATTACAATAACATAATTTAAAGCTTAGCTGGAAATTTGGTTTTGGGGATTCTTTTTTTGTTTCCTGGGGTTTTTTGCTCATAATTGAAATCTTGTATTTTGGCAACCAAGAGAGGTACAACTTCAGCTTGGAATTTTACAGTTGAACAATTCACACTTCAAAATTCCTGACGAATCACTGAAACCCACTATAATCACTAATTCAACTACTAATTTCTTTTTGAGCAACTGACCTTATGATTTATCCTAAAAAAGTAAGGAAGTATATCAGTAGGCAAAAAGATAAATCCGCCCGTAAATACTAGAGTCTGTCTAAGCTATTTTACTGAAAAGGTGAGAAGGGAATATCAGATGGTCTTTACCTTTCCCCTTAACACCCTCAATCACGTATCTTACACTGAAATGACTTGCCTTTGTATCTTCAACAATATACTCTGAAACTTTGCTTAATATAGTTTTCTATGGAGTAGATTTCTGCACATGGAAGATAAATCTTGGATCCCACCTAGAAATTCATGGTCACTGAAATAACTCTTCATTAGATAGTTTGTGTGCGTATGTATGTGCATGTGTTTTAACTCCAAAGAATGCTACCTTAAGAGATTTTTATTAGCAGGATCCAGTATAGGTATAAGAATTCTTTGGACCCTTTAACTCATTGACGCAAAAACTCTTCCAGGAGACTGTGCACAGCCCAGCACTCAGGAGGAGCTACTCAACATGGAGCACACCTCCCCTGAGGGCCAGTTGGTTTATGCTCACCTTAGAGGCTGAGAGGCACCACAAAACAGGGGCTAGAAAAAACTGAATTTTACTCCCCATCCCCCAAGACTTGAGTAGTTCTAAAATCTCTGCTTGCCTCCAGCTTCTCACTGGCAAGCTTCCTCGGCTTGTAACTTTTGGACAGCACTATCAAGGAGCTCCATGGACTCTCTGAGAGTGACGCTGATTTTAAATGGCTTGGGTTTAATGCTCAGGCCGTAAGTGAAATTAATTTTCGGGGGCTCATTTGGGTTGGCCCTGAAATCGCACTGGTGAGCCAGGATGGAGGTGAAGAGAAACAGCTGCATCTTAGAAAGCTCTTCGCCAATGCACCGCCGTCTGCCCACTGAAAAAATCATCACGCTGCTGGTCAGGTCCTTGTTGATGAAACCATCCTTGTCCAAGAATCGAGCTGGAACAAAGTCCTCTGGGTTAGGCCACTTCACTGGGTCATGATTCACAGACCACTGGTTAACAAAAACCACAGTGTCTTTGGGGATGTGGTAGCCCAAGATAGAGGTGTTGGCAGTGGTAGCGTGAGGAATGGTGACAGGCACAAAGCTGGAGAAGCGCATGGCTTCATAGAGAAAGGCCATAACATAGGGCAGGTTGGGCTGGTCGTCCATCCGGGGCAGACGGTCCCTCCCCACGACCTGATCCAATTCTGCCTGTACTTGAGCCTGCACGTCAGGGTACCTTGTTTGGGTTTTGATACAGAGGAAGAAAAACAAATGAGCAAAATTAATTCTTCTTTCATCTAGAAAGTACGTTACAATTTATTTTAATTCTACTTTTCTTTAAACAGGCCATCTAGGTCAGTGGTTGAACTAATATTTCTGGCAAAAAAAAAAAAAATCTAAAATAGTTTCCTAATTTCTTACTAAATTACAAAATGGACTTTAGCAATTATATTTCCCGTAATAAGCCTGGTGTGGCTAAAGTTCTCTCTCCCATTATAAGTCAAAAAATTAAATTTTCTCAGTCTAAACCATGATAATGGACAAGGCTGATGTCCATGGATAATTCCAACAGACATACTGTTCTCATTTTATATTACAATAACTGGTATCCTGATGGATAAAGCTACATACTGTATTTCCTAAATTGAAAAGCAAATTCCCAAAATTCATAAGATTATGGTGCAAATTGTACTATTTATTTGCTGCTGATTATATAAACTGGCACGATCCTTTTGGAAAACAAAATCTTAGTACAAAGCAAGATCCATAAAGGTAAACCCTCCCCCCTCATTTTAAAAACAGTTACCCATACCTAGAAATTTATATTTAGGAAATAATTTAACAGGTACAAAAATACGTGACCACCTCTATAGCTAAAATTTTTAAAATGCAATCAAGGTCAATGACCAAAAGCTCGATAAATGATTATATACAACTATACGTCATGATGGCAGAATTATGTAGCCATCAAAAATTAGTAAAATAAATATTAAAAGATAGGGAAATATCCACTACAATAATTCACAAAGTGTCAGAAGTCAAAAAACACGTAACTAATTATTGCAACTCTGAAAAAAACGTAAGCATGTGTGTGATGAAATTATGGGTGATCTAAAAAGGGCCAGATAGTGTATATTTTGGACTTGGTGGACCAAACTCTCTCTCGAAACTATTCGACTCTGCCTTGTGTTGTAGTGTGAAATCAGCCGCAGACAATACATAAATGAATGGGCATGGCTGTTTCAACAAAACTAATATACAAAAATAGGTGGTGGAATTTGCCAAACCCTGTCATATTGTCTTTTCACTAAAAAGAAGAAAAAAGTATTCATCAGCATATGACCCCAAAATTGTTTTATTTACTTTTGCTGCCCAATTGGAGTACAGAGAGAACTATTTACAGTTTAGTTCTAATGAAAAAGAAAGGTTGTTTCAAAAGATAAAATGCTTATCTGGGGATGCAAAGGCCCTATTCAACCATTCTGGGATGGCCTTTTCCCTGTCCATGGTTGACTTATGTTTATTCAATTTCTGCCCCCCCCCCACTGTTTCTATGATCTTAATACTGAAAAGCTATTTTAAATATACAAAAACGTCTAATTTGTGAAGATAGCTGTACAGTATTAAGGAAATACAGATTGCAGTGGATTTTAATAAGAAGCCGTCCCTGCCTTCCAAATACCGTACGTGGTGCCTGCAGATCCAGCATCTCCAACTGCTTACCTGTGCTCCAAGAAATGACACAACCAGGATTTCTGGTCTCTCATGCAATCAAGATTTGCCTTGGGCGTGACATTTGCCCGTGGGGTACGGTTTCCAGATAAAATACAAGCCGCCCAGTTAAATCTGAATTTCAGATAAACAGCAACTAATCCTTCAGTATAAGTAAGTCCCGTGTAAAATTTATTTTTCATTTACTAAATCTGGCGACCCGACGCCAGGGACCTGTGGAATTCGTGTGTGTTGGAGTGTAGCAGAGGTCGGCGCCTTTTTCAAGATATCACTGGGGGTCAGCTAACCGAGCCGAGGGCAGGGGTCCTGGGTACTCCGAATGCCTTTCTAGATGCTACTCTGCACTCGGTAAAAGTGAATACTTTTTACGCCTCCACTTCCCTTTCTCCTAGCGTCGCGGTTTTATAAATCAGCACTGCCCGCTGGTGTTTGGCCGCCTTCCGAAAGCCTCCGTGCGCTTCACGCGTCCGCCGGGCAAGCCTCGGCGGGCTTCCTTTGCCCGGGAACAAAGCCCTGACCCGCGTTTCGCTTTCAGCGCCAGGTCTGGGCGGCCTCGGATCCGGTCCGAAAACTGGCTGCGCCGAGGCTGCTGTGTTTAGCATATTTACCGCGTTACCCTTTTTTCGGAACCATTCCAATTTTGCTTCCAGCGAGCCAGGAAGAGAGACATTAGGGCTGATCTGCGGGCACTTTAAAAATCTTGGTTTTCAAGGGGGGTTCTTAGAAATTTGTGCCCATTCGCAAGCGGGGAAGGGAGGATAGCGACAGGATCGGAGAGCGGGGAGGTCGGGGCACCGCGCGGCGGGGTGTGCGCGCGTGTGTCTGGGCCCGCACCTTGAGGCCCTGGAGGTTGCTTTCGGGACGCGATCTCAGTTTTGAGTGGTGGGGACCTGGATCGAACCCCAAACCCCGCGGGCTGCTTACGACCTCAGCATGCCCCACTCCGCCCTTTTCAGAGGGAAAAAGGAAGTCCTGTCCCACGCCTCCTGGAGGCTTTACCTGACTAAAAGGAGGAGCAGCCACTGCAGCGCGGTAGACAGGGTGTCCTGGCTGGCGCCGAAGATATCGGTAACGGTGGCTGGCACGTCTTCCAAGTCTAGCTGCTTGCCACTGTCGCCGGGGTCCCCGGCCGCCTTCTTTTCCGCGGAAAGGATGAAGGCGTCCATCAAGTCTCGGGGGCCGGCCTCGGGCCGAAGGCTTTCCCGGTGCCTCAGGAACTTGTCGAGGACGAAGTTGCTGAAGTTGCGGTTGATCTGCTCGAACTGGCGGAAGGCAGTGCGCACCGGGTTGGGAAAGAGCTGCAGCCAGGGCAGCACGTCCACCAGGCTGCCCGCGCCCACGGTGCGCCCGAACTCCTCGTTGTGGCTGAGCAACTCGAGGAACTCGGCGTCGTCATGGCTGTAGCGGCAGCCAAAGCACAAGGCGCTCATGACGTTGGCCACGGCCACGACAGTCAGCTGCCTCGGGTCGAGAAAGGCGCCGCCCGCGCTGCCGCGCACCAGCAGAGCCACCATCTCGCGCACCTCGCCCAGCACGTGGCCCTCGAGGACGCGGCGGCTGTGCGGCTGGCTCGTGGAGAAGGCGCGCATAGTGCCATACGCCGCGCGCCGCCGCGTCTTCCAGTACTCGGAATAATGTCCGAAAGCCACGCTGCGGCCGCCGGACACCACGCGGAAGGAGGCGAAGGGCGGCCGGCCAGCGAAGACGGCACCCTGCTGCACCAGGGCCTGGTGGATGGCGCGCTCGCCATTCAGCACCACTACGGGGCAGCTGCCCAGGCGGATCTGGAAGACGTCGCCGTAGCGCCGCGCCAGGCGCGCGAAGGAGAGGTGAGCCACCCGGCCCACCGCCAGCGCGTTTCCGATCAGCGGCCACGGGAAGGGGCCTGGAGGCGCGGACCCCGGCTGCCGCCGCCGCTGCCTCAGCAGCCACTGGCTCACATGCACGGCGGCCAGCACCGAAAGGAGTAGCAGGAGCGTGGTCTGCTGGACGGACAGAAGGCTTAGCGGCCAAGGGTGATCCAGGCTGAGGCTGGTGGCCATGCTGGGGACAGAAAGGTGAAGGCGTAACACAGGTGTGCAGAGAAAGGAACAGGCGCCCCACGCCCCTGCCCCAGCCTCCCACTGCTGTGTGCTGTTGGGTGGAGAGGAGGCCGTGCGTAGGTCAGGTCAGGGCTGGCTCTCCGGAGAAGTAGCCAAAGACGCTCCTTCCCATCCCCAGCCCAGTCTCCCGTGGAGAAAAGAAGGGGCATGTTTCCACCTGTCTGTGACCCAGCGCCACCTCCCCCCCCCCCACACACACACCGGCGCTTAACGGTTCCTGCAATTTGGGGCCAACACCGCGGGCATCGAGGCGGTGGCTCTTGGTTTCCTTTAAAGTGCCTATCACCCCACCCCCGACCTGCAGGAACCCATCTGAAGAGGCCGCAGGAAGGCGGCTCCGCCAACAGACTGACCTGCGGGGAGACGCGGTTTGCAGTGGCGCTGGACAGCCGGCTCCGAGAAGGGGCTGGGGCCTTTACCCAGCGCAAGACGTCAGCCCGAGAGTCACCGGGAACCCGGAGGCCAGCCCTGCACACCTGCTGCCCGCTCTGGGAGCTTTAGCACCCACTCTGGAGTCTCTTGGCGTCCTCAGAGCCAGGAGCGCTTGGACTGGGATGAGGACGGAGAAAGGTGCCTCTTTTACCGAGCCCCGCTGCACCTGGGGCTCTGGCAAAGTCAGCGTTTTTTCACAGCGTTGGGATTGAGACTAGGGGGGTGATGAGCAGCGTCAATTCCCATGCCCCCTGCGCGGCTCTCACAGCTGGCGTCGCAGAGGTGTTTGCTCGCTTTGCAGAGTCAAAACGCGCCATCCCGCTGCTCCGGGTTTTAAGGACAGTGCAGAAGGAGGGGAAACGAGACCTGGCGGGGCGGGGCTTGCGGGGGGCGGGGCGCGCCGGCACAGTCCACACCGCTCGGACTCCCACTCGCTTCTGGGCGCGCGGGTGGTCCGGCCCGGCGTCAGCTGCGCACCCTGACGGCCTTGGAGCTCCACCTGCGGCTTCACTGGAAGCGACGGTGCGAACTCTTCCTCTGTCGGGTAGCGGCTCCTAATCACAATCGCCCCAAATCCAGACTACACGACTTCCCAGAACCGCGCTCGGGACGGAACCAGCCCGAGCCGCTGCGCTCTGGGTGGGAGCGCGCCCCACGCCCCGAGCACACGACCTCCCTTCCCTCTCCGTGACATGAGCTTTGTTCCCCAAGAGCATCGCGCTAACGACCCGCAGGCGCCCGAGCCGGGAAGGGAAACCTGTCTGTTTAGAAACAAGGAAAGCGCGGGTTGTGGTGGCGGGTTGCTTTTTAACTCCCCTGGTTATTTTATTTTTCTTAAATTCTCGCAAATTGGCCCCTAAATTGAGGCTCTTTGACGTGCAAAATGTTTTCCACCTCGCGCGGCTATATCAGGAATCCCTGAAAACAGCCGCTCCCGGGGCCGCGACCGTCCTAGGGCACACAAAGGCCCGCACTCCGGGGCCCAGCTGGCCCTGCGTTTTCCCTCGTAGAAGCGGCTCCTGGAGGCGCCGCCCGCTGGCGGGCGCGGGGCAGGCCTGACAGCGTCCCAGGCGGTTGGCGCAGAGCGTGAAGCCAAGCCGGGCGAAATGGGAGGCGGGGGATGGGGGTGGGGGAGATCAGGGAGGGAGGGACGCGAGCGAGGGCGGAGAGTGGCCGGAGAGGCAAATCGCACGCCTGCGAACTTCGCCCGGGTTGTGAAGTTTCCTTTGCTGTCGCCTCCCCCTTGCGTGCGGAGCTGTGCTTTGCGTGCGCGGCTTCTGGAAAGTCGGCCCCAGTCATAACCCTTGGGCGCTCCCCGTGGCCGCCCCTCCCGCGCTTCTCAGCACCTGACACGCGGAGGCGGCGGCCGCCACCACCCTCGGAGTGGGATGCCGGCCGCCACCACCCTCTGCGGCGCACGCACGGCGGCGCGGGCCAGGCCAGCTGGGTGGACGCCCTGTCCGCCGCCCTCAGGCAGGGTCCAAGGCGCATTGCGAGCCCGCCGCGCGCCCGCGGCTCTGTCCCCTTCCCCGGCAGGCGTGCGCTCCAGTAGGGGTCGTTTCCTTCAAAGGGGGAGCCGAAGGCGCTCTGGCCCGGTCTGAGCCCTTTCCAACAGGTTGGCGCATACTATAGATATTTTCCAGATACCTGGAGAACAAGGTCTTCTCCGCGAGGCTGGGGAAAGGGCTACGCCGGGGGAAGAGGTGGGATCTATCTAGTTAACCAGGTAGTAATTGTACCTCCGGGCCTCACCAAGGGTATATATAAAAGTTGTGAGTTTACCACTGACGACCCTGTTCTTTGAACTCTACCAGGGCTGCGAATCTGCTGATATTATTGACCAGTTTACAGATGAGTAAACTGGAGTTCAGAGAGATTGTGTGACTTAACCCAAGTCACACAGCAATCAAGAAGTGGAGCCGGAATTTGAACCCACAAAGTCCCACTCCAGATCCCTCATATAAGTTTACAGGGAAGAAAATTGCAGATAAGAGGCTGAAAGGCCTTCTTTCTTGTCTGCCTTAAAAAAAAAATTCAGCTGGAAAAATATTTGAATTGTTTTTGTTTTCATAATTGAGAATTCTGAGGATCATAAAAAAAATAGTATGCTCACCCTTTGCAATTAAATTCGTTATGAGGGAGGCCCATGGACTGCTGACGCATAGCGGACCTTGGAATAATTGATTACATCATAAAGAAACATGAAGGGGTGTCTGAAGAGAGTCAACTTCTTGAGAGATTGAAACCAGCAATAAAATATTTGACCTAATAAGAAAATTCCTTTATGTAAAAGCCTTTATTCGGTAGCATTTGAAAGGTCCTCTGTGAATGATTTCACACACTATGATGGAGTACTCAGATCAATGATAAGGTTATTTATTGACCAACTGCATTGGATTAATAATAGGCATGGGTTTCCCAGAGCTGGGTTGGCCTACATGTCCTTGAAATGAGTTTCATAACAACCTTGCAATGCACAACTTTATCAAGACCCTTGTCTAACAATTCAGGACTGTGCTGCATGCATCAGTCTCTCCTAGACTTTAGTTTACTGCAGGAGAATTAGCTATCGGCTAATGCCAATTCTGGGCTGGCAACATTCTTGAAAGCATTTATCACAGTATCTCTGCCAGAATTAGAGCAGGTGGAAGTTGTCTTTAAACCAAGTAAATTCCTATTTTAAAAAGCATAAAACAAGGCTGTTCCTAAGACCTCATGTTTGACTCCTCAATAATACCATGTAGTTTCTGGATCAACTAGATGCATGCCTTCCTGCTACAGCAAGTAGTTCAGCTATATGCTCCAAGCTATAGCTTCTTGGGCTCAGCTCTTTTTCTAGGCCATGCCTCAAAAAGCAGAGGAATCAGGGGGCAAATACTATTGGAAAGACAGGCCTTCATCAGTTACGATAAACCAGAATGGTTGGCTGTGGTAGCACCTTCAGAATCTTCAGGCCTAAGGTTCTTAGGGCTGCATGGTACAAACCTCATTGGAAGGCCCATCTGGTACCTGATGAAGACTTTGAATAAGTGGGTACCCCTGATCCAGCTTAAGGTGTGGCCCTTCCTTTAGTCAGAATCTGTCCTTTAATTATCATCACAACTTCTCAACCAAAGCTGGGATCTAAGGCCCAGGAATCTCCTTTTAATTAACATAGAGTACAGGCATTTTGCCCTCCCAAATCTCAAACTTGAATTATTTGCTGCAAATAACTTTCAAAAGGAACAGCTAAGCTAGAGGGATAGTTTAAAGTAGAGGTTTAAAATACCTTATATTGTACCGATTCCAAGGAACAGCTTAAGCTTGTTTAAGCAGGACAGGAATGCACTGGCTCCCATGGCAGAGAAGGATAACTATGCTACTTCACAGGACGGGAGGATCCAGCGCTACCCTACTTGATCACTGTCTGTGCTGGTCTTTGCTTTGTTTAGCAATTTCTCCCCACCTAGCAGGGAAACTTGCCATGGCCAGACTCAAATTAACAACCCCAGGAGAGATGTTTCTCTTTTCCAAGGTTCTAAAAGACATCTTATGAGCCACACTGGCATCGGGTTTTACCCTGTGGCCAAGGGCTGCTTCTGTAAGAAAAAGAGAGAGAGGTGAGTTACGCTAGGAAGCCAAAGAGCTGCCACAGTCCACTCCATGTATACATGTCTGCTCTTTCCTTTCTTTGGGTTGGAGGATAACCCAAACCCATCATCATTATTATTATTGTTCTTTGAAATCATCAGATAGATGCATTGTCCCTGGAGCCAATAGCCAAAAAAGGTCTGCCCTTCCGCTATCAGGCCGGAAGTCAGCTTTCTTCATGGTCTTTCTCCCTAGCATGATCCCATGTCAATTTTATAGGTAAGTACTGTGCTCGTCCAACCCCCTCCAAGCACACATACATACCCACATGCACTGAGCAGAGTGGAGTAGAAGCAGCCATCTCTGGCAAGCCCTTACATTGGGGTGGCAGGAATCAGTAATCAGACACATGCTGGTAGACAGGAGGAACAGGAATAAAGAGACACATCATGTGACCAAAGTGACCAAAGGAATGACAGAGGAGGAGCTATAAGATAATGTACACCATGTGCTGGAAATTGAGAGGATTCTTAGGAGTGGATACCAAAACCCTGTGCCTCACTTGAATTGCACTGCTTCTTTCCTCCTGGCAATACACAGGCTGAGAACCACAGAGCTCAAAAACATATTTCATCTAATCTTAGAAGCCATCATTTGTAGAATGCACCATTATTTCATGTACTAATATATGGGGGAGCTACCAGTTGTAATTGTACCTTTTTTTTTTTTTTATTTCAGCAAATTATGGGTGTACATATGTTTAGGTTACGTGTGTTGCCCTTGGTTCCCCCCCCCACCGAAGTCCGTGTTTCAAATATGTCCATCCTTCGGGTAGTGCGCATTGCACTCCTTGTGTATACAAATACCCGTCCCCTCCTCCCTCCTCCCCCCTCCTCCCGCCACCCTTCCCGTGGTACAGATGATTAGGTTAGGTGTGTTGCCCTTGGTTCCCCCCCACCGAAGTCCATGTTTCAAATATGTCCATCCTTCGGGTAGTGCACATTGCCCTCCTTGTGTATAATTGTACCTTTGATTGTAAGACACATCCAGATTTCGGAGATGTTAAAATGTAAAGTTAAAGAAGGTGTATTTTAGAGTCAATGAAGCATTTTACATACTAACAAGATTCTTTTGATTCTGACTTTGTATTAGGCAGTGTTGGTTTTGAAGTTTCTTGGATGGAGTGGCTGGGACCAGGGGTATTAGCTACCAAAGCCATTCCCATTTTTGTTAATATTATTTGACGTAGACAATTGACGTTTTCTCAATCCTATGTAAAGTTTGGTTAGAAGCTGTTTTGGAAGATTTTGCTATTTTTATTGACCTAAGTAAATCTAAGAAAAGACAGTCACTTGCTAAGTTGATGGAGCTTAAGTTTCCTACCCCCACTCCAACCATGTCCCCTTCCAACCTGATTGCTTCCTAAGTGCTTTCTGTATAATCTGCTATTAATGAAAGCCACAGAGCTACACTGTATTCTTCTAGTTTCCCACCAAAATGCTCCTATAAGTATTTGCAGGTAAAGGGGCATCAGTGTCTGCAATTTACTCTCAAATGGTTCAAGGAAAGAAGCAGAGGTGGGGGGAGAGAGAGAGGGAGAGGGAGGAGGATGATAAAGCAATTGTGGTGAAACGTTCATTGGAGAATCTGGATAAGTGAGAGCTCTTTGTGATATTCTTGGAACTCTTCTCTAAGTTTATAATTATGTCAAAATTAAAAGTTAAACATAAAAACATAAAAAACAAAGATCTTCATAATATTTTGA